TCAGCATTTTATTTTATAATTACACAATTCCATACTTTCTTCTGAACTACCTTCATTTATACAGTTCCTTACCCACTCATACCTTTCCCACACTTATTTTTCTTTAACACATCACTATGTTCTTACCTAATAAATACTTCAGTAACAGACAAATAGACTAAATGGTTATACATTAACTATTCCTCCATGAATATTGTGTGCTCTGCTTTTCGTCATTCCTTTTTCTTACACCTTCTTCAGCCTCCTGCAGATAATCCACCGAAAACAGATATGGCACGGGTGACTTCGTCCTACACCGTTATTAAATCCTCAGATATTCCGGAGGGATATAAGTTCGAAACTTCTAAAAGCCCCCAACTTCGCATGTATCTATTCTCGACCAACAGTTGTATGTTGCAACGCTACCTCCATAAAGTGCGCCAAGTGTGATATTGATATGTTTCTTACGAAATCCATTTACATTCATATCTTATGAAATATCAACCCAGCTGAGTAGTTTTCAACAGTGAAAATTGTAACTTCTTTGACAATTTGATCTTGCCTGTAAACCGGCATGCCTCATGTAACAATCTGTTATTTGAGAATAAATTATCATTATTATTATTATCATTGTTCATTAGTTTTGGTTTTGGTCATATTTTAAACTGTTCTTCTTTCTTGTGTACCTCTGCTGCTTCTCCTTGACTCATCCTGTTTGCTGCACACACTCATGTAGGGTGTCTATTTGATGTGGATATGCAGTATTCATAGACAGGTTAGAATTTCATTTTCGTTCCAATTTTATTTCTATCTGTAGAATCTTACTTATGTTTACTTTGTGAGTCAAAACGGAAATATATACTTATTCATTTGACTTAGCTACAAATATTCCGATGCGTCAATTTTTTGGTCTTTCTACTGCTAAACTTGCTTAATGCTACATTCAAATACTTTGTTGATTTTAACACAATTCGTGTGGTAATTCTTTCATATATTGCTTTTAGTTCTCAGGTTTCTCATGCAAATCCTAAGAGACTTCTATGAGTTGCGGATATGAAATATAAACATTCCAAACACGGAAGTTCAACTCATATCTTGCATCACAAGTGATTATTCACATACTGATGTAATGGGATATAATTTCTAACATCATATGGATGTTATGTATGTGCGACCACTAATTGTTGCCAACTAGTTACGTAATACAAATAAATATCAAGGGCAGGTGAATCTTAGATTAAATGTATGCAAATATATGTGGTATTATCTCGTTAGCTAGTCTGGGAACATTTCAGTTGAATACAAGGTTTTGAAAATGTCATAAATATATGTCAACTGGACATTCTTCCTCGGATGAGAGCACCAAAAATTTTCATTTAGACGATACTACCTTTCATAGTGTTTTGGTCCGTAACAATCTCTAAATCTCAACCTCTGCAGCTCATTATAATAACAGTTTACATGTTTAGAAGAAACATGAACCCAATATAGACTCAGCCACTAAATAATGACATCAGAGTCACAATTATAAGAATAAAGTAAATTAAGCATTGGGTAGATTGTTATAAATAAATATTACATTTGTAATATCCCAATGAGTAGAAAAATTAGATTTTCTGTCGTTTCGTGACTCAGTGTAAGCCACTTCTTCAGAGAATAAATGAAGAAGTGGTTTACACTGAGTCACGAAACGTCAGAAAATCTAATTTTTCTACTAATTGGGATGTTACAAATATATTATTTATTTATATAAGAATAAAGGTATTGTCATTTTTTATGGACCAGCACTTATTCCGTAAATTTACGGCAAGTCCTTATCTGTCCTGTTAACACAATTTCTACCTTGCAAGAAGTAGCTTAGATAAGCGATATGATTTCTGAATTTACTACCAATCGCTGGGCTAGATGTCGGGTATAGATCGAAAGTGGTGTAACATATGTTTCTATAACACAGCATGGTGACAAAAATGAGGAGACTGATCAGCAGACTATAAGATTCACGATGTCACCCTACACTGATTTTTGGATTCAAAGATTTGAGACGATGCTCCAATTAACTACACACTAGTTTCACATTTATAATAAAACCAGTATCTCTGTTGATGAATTATTTCCTGTGACATTAGATGTATGACGGGAGTAAGAAATCAGTGTGAGTCTCTACTTACTGAGTAAACCCTTCAACAAGCCATATGCTGCAATAATGATGCGGTTGAGAAAGGTGATTAATTAAAGGTCACCACTTCAAACTCTGATATTGTATGGGAGGCCAAACAATCGATGAATAAAACAGTTGGTGGTGTTGAAATTTTAGGGTTAATAATGTTCCGTCGGAATAAAACTAAATTCTAAGCAACTTCCGAGACCTTTCTACAGACCGTCATCATATATACATACTAACCATCTAACTGTTATTCAGCTAGATTATGCTTATATACATTTCCTCTATTATAAGCTTATATTTGACCTAAAGGGAAACGGAAAAGAGGATGGTCAAACAACACGCTGTGCCGGAGATTGAAAAGCAACTGGAAACAACTGAAAAGGATTGACCAGGACAGAGTACGATGGGGACTGTTGGTGTGTGCTATGCTCCTTCACGATGGTAACAGGCGTATGTTAGTTTTGTTTGGCCTACTAACTACTATTAGGCAATTTACTATCTCTAAGTTATTACCGATCTATTAGTTACAGTTTCCCACATTCACAGCCACTTTTGACTCAGTGCTACATAATTTTTGTTTTCCATTTGATGGCGTGATACAGTTTGATTCGCTTGTATATAAACTGTGTGTGTCTGAAATACATAGTTCATATTGTAGACGCTGAGAATGTGTTCAGAACTCAATGGTTAGGGCAAGATAAGCAGAACCAATAAGGACCCAAAGTTGACTACAGGCTACCTGTACTGGTCAACGCGTCACTGCTTTGGCACATCACCGAGATCATATAATTCGGCGTTCTAACTGGAGATTTTGTCACGTGGTGTATTATTAAGGAGAAAATCATGACAAGCAGCTGTTCTTCGTTTCTAATTACAGTTAATTTCTTTAAAAAAGTGTATCAGCCTTTAGATTGTGAAAGCAGCAAAAGCTGTTTGTCTAAAAAATTACGAGTAAACTTGAGAAGTTCTTAAGAATGTATTTAATTTCGTCTAACTTTATCTGTGTCATAAAACTCAGGATAATCTTATCATCTGATATACATGTCCATATAAGGTGATTTTAAAATAACTTGAAGATACAACAGGTATTGTAGTTTGAACACACTTTACCAGTAACACGACGATAGTCACTAGTTGGACGCCAATCTTTGCTGTCCTTTTTAAGGACCATGTGCAAGGGGGATGCCCATGGGCTGTTTGACGGTCGAAGGATTCCTAACTCTATCATGTGGTCGAATTCGTTTTTGGCCAACCTCAGCTTTTCGATGGCCAGTCGGCGTGCTTTCGAGAATACAGGTGGTCCTGTGGTCGTAATGGGATGTGCAGCTTGCTGGCTACACACGGCAATTTCGTTTGTGATTAGTATTTACTAAGCCATGGTTGAAAGTTATTTGGCCGACAATTTTTCTCATCCTTAGCAACATGTCTGTCGCATAATCATGTTGCAGGTCGATATTATTAAGGAGTTGATCTAGTCTTTGTCGATCGGTTAAATCTCCGCTTTTCAGGGTTTCATAAGGTTCCGAAACACCACTAGTAAACATACTAGCTATGAGGTACCTGTTGAATTGGCGCGGTAGTGCTTTTACTGACGCAAAGAATTGTGCGTGTGGATCAGTCACGCCGTGCTCGTAGAAGTCGGCTTCTGCGTAGCAGAACCAGGCTTCGATATTGTCTGGCCAAAAAGGGCATTAGCTAAAACGAGGATGGTGTAGGAGTCGTCATCGTAAGTAGCTTAGGAGTCTGTTCTGTCATGGCGAATTTAAATTATAGGAATGAACGAGGGAGTAATATCCCAAAATACGAAAAATATATCACAATATATAAAAAATAAAGCAAACAAATGATTTATGGAGTTCCAAAGAGGAACAGACTCACAGTATATTGGTTGGTGTACCAGATCACGCCGGTCTCACCAATGAAGATACTACAGATATTGCAGTTTAAAAACACTTTACCAGCAACACCTTCTGTAATTGAATTGCGCCCACCCAGTGCAATCAAAAGTCAGAAGCGAGGAGGCTGGGATATATATTTGATGAATTATCAGTATATCGAGGAGTGATTTCAGGAGATGTTGGGCACGCCGTTTCGAATCGTGATCTGGAGCGGATGTATGACCCAGCGCCTTTAGCTAGGTGAGTCTATTGAAACTAATATGGTCAGCATACAATGTCGAAAACTTACAGAGTTATTGATTTTGGGGACTTATTCACTGATACAAACTCTACGGGGGTGAATTTCAATAGAGAAAGATGAATTTTAAGAATGTATTTTCGGCAGAACTATAAAACAAAATCCAGCTTGGTCCCGGTTGAAATGCCACAGATAGTTGCCTGGTAGGAAAATGAGATGCACCCCTCAAATTCTGTAAAGCAGCTCTCATGAGCTAGTTTAGACTCTCATTAACAATCAAGTAGTAATTTTAAAAGGTTAATTCTCATTTTGAAGGAAATAATGTGACTGGTTTTTGAGTTTCCAACCAAGGTTATTCTGATTTGCTAAACTACACATTGTTTTTTCCATATGGTCATCGATTAATTCATGTGTTTAGAATGGACTCTCACCTTTAGGTCACATCAGTACCCGTTCATGAGATTTCTTTTGTACGAGACGTGCAGAGAACATAAATGAGCCCACTCCAAATGGATCCCTCAGTGCTACTCCGAGGACCGCCAAAATGGGGGTAAAAATCAATAATTTGTGTAAGACCTCAGTAATTGACATTTACTTCAGTTCCAATGTAAATGAAGGAGATTCGTATAAGTGTTCTTTCTCAATCACCCATTATAAACTACTATTTTGATTTTTCATGTTTAAGAAGAATCAGAGCTAACGATTTCCTCAGAAACATGTCTTTAGGTCTAGATGTGAACTTCAAGAATTTTATAAATATTCAATCATCCTCATAAGAGTTTGAAGTTACTAGATTGTTGAGTATTGTGAAGGCCAACAATTAACTGAGTGCGCTACATGTCGCTATCGTAATGCCTGTACTCGAGTCTCTTATGCTCGGTGAGAAGACAGCAGTTGTCTTTGACATAGGCTCAGTTTACACCAAGTATGCATTCTTGATATAGTTAACAAGATTGGTAGATGTGGTTTCGCTGGAGAAACTGGACCAAGGTTTATTATACCAACAGAAATTACTTTGGTTTGGTGAACTTGTAAAGTACATTGGTATTTTCAGCTCACAGGTGAAAAAAGAAATATATCCTCATGTGATGGAAAGGATAAAAGACGGGAGTTCTTGACGACGTTTCTCTACAATATATACTATCGGTATGATCATCCAAATTTACTTCGCACTTCGTAGACATTTGTTGGTAAACCCAAAGGACAGACGAGTTGTTGTAGTTGAAAGTGTGCTATGTCCTTCATCATTCCGTGAAGTTTTGGCCGATGTTTTGTTCAATCATTTTGAAGTAAAACATTAAATGCAGATATCTTTTTGGTGTGATCTAGGCACCTTCTGTACTTTTTGCAACTTCCCACTTGATGGCACTATTTACTCTTGGGATTTCGTCGGCTGTTGTATTAGACTGTGGTTATACGGATGTCCAAGTTCTGCCTGTAAGGGATATTCGCCCTCATCCTAGTGTTTATAGGTTTATGAGGGTTACACACTACTAAACGCTTGGCAGTCAGCGCAGCTTGGTAGCAAAAAAATTCATAAGTATATTTCGTGTAATATATAGTAATATTTGCTAACTTTCAGAAACATCAGGAGTTACCTAAATGAGAATGCCAAGTTGGTGGATGTTATCAACGGAGAGTCGCAGTTAACCCCCTGTCCAGATTGTTTTATTTCGGAACATATTATTGAAGATATAAAAGGTGGATTGTCATTAATATTTACTTACTCTCAGTTCGTACGTGTTTTGTTAGTCCACACAATAGGGCGGTCCAGTGGAAGGCTTGGAAGGATTCTGCTGAATCATCGGCCGCAAAGCCCAACTTGTATCAAGAAACATTTATTTTCCCCCTGGACAAGTTAGGAAACGAAAGACCAATTCAAGTTACATCAGATATCCGAGAGTTGGCAGTTGAATGTTTGTTTACTGGAGACAATGACCAAATTACACTTACAACACTAATTTTAAGATCAATTTTGTTGGCACCTATTGATATTAGAAGGTATTTAATCTTATTAACTTTACCCTGCACGTGTGTCTTCTAATTTCTAGTAATACAATGCCCTTGTCATTTTGTATTTACTTTCAAGCATTTTGTAAGCAAAATTAAGCGAACCTATGCACTAGTCTGAAAATGCTTTTTGTAATATAAACGGAATACTGGTGGTATCTTTATTGGTTTTCTGTCTTCACTTTTAGTTGGAAAATTTGGTGTATGACTTCGCAGATAGTTTACATACTCAGTGAGTGCATTAAAGCCGCAATAATATATTGGTTTGTAATGAAAACTGTCTTTGGAATAATCAGGTCCCCAATAGTGTAGTTTATATCTCAACATATGTATATTTATATCTTTATACTCATTAATTAGTTTGCTTAGTTAGTGACCAGATACTAAGAAGATGGAATATTGGAATCTTCTCTGTTACAAAAGACATGGAGGAGTTTGACCTCGCCACTGTGCCAGTTGGGCGGTGAATCAGTTACTAACATGTCCGATTTTAAGCCACTAAGTTGTGGGTTTGAACCCTATTCCATATATTCCGGTTTAAGAAACTGGGTAAGATCACTACCCAAAGTTCACAAGCCTGCATCCGGCAAATAAATTGTTAACCACTATGTCGTGTTATCATGACACGACACAGTTGTTGATGAACTCTTAAATATTTGGTCAAAAATGACTTGGGATTTACAGTTTCAGTAGAGACTCACGAAACCAATTTTTCCAGAACTTTGGTTACAAACACTCTGCACTTACACTGTAGTCTATGTATCCTAGCCAAACTACTTTTATTGTCTCTTCAGTCAGTCAGTCAGTCAGCTACAACGTAGGACCAGGCACATATATGCATCGGTCCAAGTTGCCATACCTCTTTAGCACAACAAGATGAACACCGGATTCATAGAAGCAATTAATTTATTTAATTAATTAATTAATTTATTGTCTCTTAAACACCAAGTAAATTAACCTAATAAATGGCATCTGATTTTACGAAACAAATATAGTGTGACAACTCATCAGTTAATAAACTGCCTGATAATGTCGGTTGGTGGTGTCGCTTTTCAACACTAACAGACTAACTTTGTTAACTTTCTACAATTAGAACTACATTTATAGAAGGATCTTTCTAAATTCCAGAAATTATTGCATATTAGCTCCAAAGGGTTCAGTATACTACTTTTCATGGTATGAGTGCCTCAATAATGCAACAAAGACTAGCAGGCCCTAGGTGGCGGTGACTTGTTTTCTGAGACAATCACTCTTCATCTAATTGGCCGTAGGTTCAAACACCGGTAGTGGCACTAGACCACATAGAATACGTGACTCAAAGTTGAGTATTAAAGCTTTTATTTGATTTATCCTGGTTATTGTTCACCTTTTCGCTCCGAAGACATTTTTCGGTTTTTTTCCAGATAGTTCATCAGTTTTTGCTGACCAATATCTCATTGTAATAAACTTTATAAGTTCTTAGAGAAGTGGATTTAAATGTTGATGTTACACCTCACTAGTTAAAAGCTATGGACAACATTGCCTGAATAAATATATGCATCTTGGTGTCCAAATTTATTTTCTGTAGTCATTTCCACTTGATACAGTTTTTTACAGAAGTCTTTTTCATATAACAGGAAGTTGGCAGAAAATATTGTACTTATTGGTGGCACAACCATGCTACCTGGCTTCGTATCTCGTCTAATGGAGGAACTCAATTCACTTGTCGAACTTCCTGAGTTCTCAAAGTTACAAGCTTTGAAGGGATCTTTTAAATTTCACAACCCCCCTGGTGAAGCAAATTACATAGGATGGCTTGGTGGTAGGTTTTTAAATTTTGTTGCTAATAAACTTTCATATTATATTATTTTTCATGATTTTGACAAATTATTTTTCAGTTCATACAAGATAGTTCATTATTGCTCGTCTGTTTCCCACAACTAACTTATTTGTAAAACTATCATTTTCCATTCCGTGTACGTTATTTAACTCAGGCTCATATTTTTTGAAAGGGGTTGTAAACTAAGAATGTAAAATGTTCATGTATGTAGGAAGAGATAATTTCATTTCTGACGGATTTTTGTTGCAATAGACTAAACTGGAATTATTAGGAATCGAGAACTTGATCTTTTTTAGAAACTAGTGTACTTGCCCATGTCGTAATTGTAAATGAAATAATATGAATCTTTGTTCATAAATCTCAGTTTATGACTCAACATTACTTCTCATTAATGTGTTTTTATCAGCACTCATTAAATCATGTTAGTAGGGAATAAATTCAAGTTGATGTACCTCATTCTCTCTCTACAGGGGCAATTTTCGGTGCACTTGAATGTTTACCAGGACGTTCACTGAGTCGGTCTAGTTTCTTGGAAAATGGTTTAGTTCCAGACTGGTGTACCCAAATTGATCAGAAACACAATGATCTTGAAAGGCAGGATACTACCCGCCAGTGATATCTAATATGATTTCGTGTTAAGTAGACAATTACGTATTTATCATTCAGTAAATCTATTTCCCTTTAAGCGTCTGTTAACTTTCCCTTTGTTTACAACTTATTTTTGATAATCTTATTTCCCGACCAGCTAGTACTTTAATTATTTCCTCGTTTTGTCAGTTGGGTGCTTTGGGTTTTGGAAATAAATTCTTTTCAAAATGTCTGACTTTTGGCTACACTAATTTGGCGAATCTTTCTATGCTTTTATGTTGTTGTGGATCATATTAAATCTAGATACAAACTAATCGATTTCAATTTGAGAAAGCTTACATTTTACTTCTGGGTGATTTTAAGAAAAAATTTAGTAATCGCCTTTCTAGTTATTTGATTAACACCATAGAAAACAAACAAACGCCCAGTTATTATCGTTATTTTTAGGTGTTATTTAAAGAAGTCCTTGAAATACGAATCATTGATTGTTGAATCGACACTTATAATTCCATGAAAAGGTAATCTGCTTTTTGCCACCAATATACAACAATACATTTCCTGAAATGTTTAGTATAAGATTTTTGTTTGGGGTAAGTGGAAAGAGTCGTAGACCATCCATCTAGGGGAGTTGGAAAACCCTAATTCCAAATCAATGGTGCACATGGACTCCAGTATCCTGAGGGAACAAATGGCGTATGAACCAATCGTCGGTCACCGGCTACCATGGGACCGCATCTCCTGACGTTGCTCTACTGCCTTGTGGATCAGACCTTCAGGTCAAAGGCTCGGAGTGTGGCCCCTTAAGAAAACCACCTGCTTCGGTCTGGGCACCCGGGCAGTATCATAGCCCTCACACATTTAGGTGAAATGATAATTTTTTGTGTGGCGCATATATATATCTGGTGCCTCTCTGTACCAATATTTATGTGTTCAAATAAATAAAAATTAACATTTTAGATATGTAATGTAGACATGGTTCTGGGTGAGCTAACTGTAATATATTTAGTGAGTTTTATTAATGAACTTCGCTTATTTCGACTGTCTATCGCAAGCGACCAGTTTTCTAAGGTGAATAATTAGGACGAATACTTGCCTTAGGCTTAGATACAAGAGGATAACTCAAAAATAAATACTCTATGAATTGACAAACTATTGATTTATCTTATCTTTTCAGGAGCGATGTTAACATAAAGGTAGAGCGTTGAGGTTAACCAATCCCTAGGGTTATTAATTTAGAAGTAAGATAGGTGAATTAATTGTTATAAATGTTAAATCTTTACTCGAATTACTGTATATAAAGATCAAGGTAGTATGATTTCATGATAAAATCACTGGACTGTTGATATTGGGTGACTGAGAAAACTTTCTACGATCACAATAACCAGAGGCCTGAAACTTTCATTTGAAAGTTGCAGAATCATTTTGTTTCAAAGATAGTAGCTAAACTAATAATCTTGTGTAACACCACATTAATGATCCAACTAAAGGAATGAACATAAAAGCAACAATTGGTTATATTATAGCAATCGATTGAACATGTTACATAAGCACCATTAAACCTTTCATAGAATAAGAATAACAACAAACACCATACACAGACAAATTCGATGTCCAATAATAATGGTTGTAAGAATGATTAATCATCGAGTCACATAAAAATGAAGCCAAATAATTACCAGAAATCAAAATAAACACAGCAAAAAGCAGTTACATGACTGATGGATAAACTAATAATGCACAAAAGGACAGATAAGAATATTCATATATTACTGACTAGAATGATTATTATCGTTATCAATTAAATTAATCGAATCAGGTTAAGCGCAAGAAACAAAATAGTGAGAAACATTTATTTGTTGAGAGAGTTAGGGCTATGGTGGAGGGGAAATTACGTTTACTGCACAGATCATTCAGATAATATAGTGAGAATGTATTTATACAGTAGACTTTCGTTAAGAACAGATATTATATTTGTTAAGCAGAAGGTGGTAAAAATGACATTACAAGAATCATATTACATCAGTGTTAACTAATAATAATAAGATAAGCGTATTAAGCAAGGCTATAGACAATAAATAACATATTAATGCACAGATTTAAAATATTATTTGGTGTTGTTATATCTTCATTAGTAGGAATTCCAAAGCACGAAGGCATACACTATATTCTTATTAGTTATATATTTTTCATATCAATATACTAAAGTTTGTTAAAAATCATTGCTAAATGACTGTCAACTATGTAAACATATTTGTATGAAGTGGGAGGATGTAAGAGAGCGTCTTGTTAGACTATTGAATCGGATAAGTTTTATACAGGGATCCAGTAGGCAATGTAAAATGCATTTTCGATTAATTTTGCTTTTATATCACATGTGATATGATGAGGCAATGTTGAACTCTTATTATTATTATTCGACACAGTGATGCGTATATACGTGTTTTCGAAAGGGATATATGTATATCTGTATACAAACAAAGAAATGTCTTATCAAACTTTGTAAAACAGAATAATACAATGAGTTATTTTTCTTTGGTTGACAATTCAAGTATACGTGCTAATTCTTCATCTTCAGCTCGACGACGTTTTTCTTCAAGTTCTTGTTCGATACGAGATTCTTCTAAAGCTTTCATATAGGCTGCATCTGCACTTGTTACAGGAATCTCAGCACCATCAAGACTCAAGCTGGCTGCAATCGCTCTATAAGAGACAAAATACTGAAGTAATCCCACTAAGAATATGCATATTTCTCATCTCTACATGTATAAAAAATTTCATTCCGAAATGTCAATTACTACCGAAACTATTCATGGAAGTAAAACGATTTTACGTGGAACTATGAATGTTTTAAAAAGTTCTACAATACAATTTGTGAATCATCAATTGAATAAAATCATACCAACCAATTACAGCTAATTTACAATTGACTGATCATTGGGTGGTGATCAATGTCATGTATGTCAGGTCCTTCTTAGTACAGATCGAATCCTATCGATCAAGTCGCAATGTGGCTGCCAGTCTAGGTGACTCGACATTGCGTGCACTATATTGGGATAAGATAGAGATTGGAGGTAGTCAACAGGGTTTAATAAATAAGGGAAATGAAAAGGCTTAGAGTAGTAATTCATATACTTTAAAGTACAATCAATGTTTGAATTAATAATACTAATACATAGTGTTCTTGAAGACAATTAAGTACATCTAACTCCAAGGCTATTTAGAATAACAGGAAACTTGGATGTATTAGTTTGAAAAGGTAATAATCAAACATCCAGTGGAGTTAAGGTGCTAATTTATCTGTTTGAGCAGACATAAGCTTTTCAGATTCAAATTGGGAAGAGTGTTTACATCTAAAAACAATGCCTTTATACAACCAGATTAAAGAGGTCAAGGATGTTTAATTGTATAGTCTGAAATACTGTTCAAATAGATGATAATTTGTAAACATGAACATCACGTGTGATTTTTGTTAATGGTTTTGTGATCGCCTCACCACACACAAATGTAAAAGAACAATCGACATAGGGTACTTTGAAAATGATATTTACATGCAGTATTTCTATTAGGCAAAAAGCTGGATACTGAGAAACTTCGGTTGATCTATTTCACCTTACGTGTTGGTGACATCAAGGTAGAAGAAATATCCAATGAATTCGAGACCAAGTCGTATGGTGACTAGCCTATACTACGTTTAATTCCAAAGTATATTATCTGTGATAACTCCGCATGAAACACAGCACTGCACAAGGGGATGATGTCAAGTGTAGAAAAGAAACATGTTTTGGTCTTAATTCATCACCTATGGATCACCCACTCAATGCTTTATCAGAATGCATTACAAAGACTAGCAGGTAACCAGATCTCTTTTGTGATGTCAACCACTATTTAAACTTCGGTTAGTTTGATTCGGTTGCTTATTTATTTTGAAGAAGTACCTTGCACTAAGTCACAAAACGTTAGGAATTCTAATTTCTGCTAATTGGAATATCAATGATATATCATTGTTTTATTACTACGATTACAAAAGTTTTACTAATTATTCATGTTTATTTATAAACACCAACATGACGGAATGATGACATTATAATGAAATAGAATAGAGAATATACAATAAATGAATAAATAGGCAACGATAGAATTTAATAAAACTTACACTTCAATTTAAAAGACAAAAGAAATTTTTTTGAATTGAAAGGGTTCATCTCAACTTTATGGAAAATTTATTAGAAAACTACAGCAAGACAGTTACTGACTTCTATTCGGCGCCATATCTGATAACATCCCAAATTTATGAGTTGCATGGTTTTTAGGAATTCAACTAGGACATCGTGATACACCAATAGCTATCAGTACCATATAACTATTTTTCATAAAGAGGTATCGTATCACAATATAACTAACTCTGCATATTCGATTCATGTTCAGTCACCACATAATAATGAAGCTTCCGTCGTAAATTATTCTCAAGATATGTACCTTAACTAGAGTTTCAAGGCTACGATATCAATTGAACTATTACCGCTGTGTTGGACTTGACATTCTTTACGACACAATGGAGTAATCAATCCGAGACAAAAATGAATGTAAAGTCAATAAGCATCTTCAGTTTACAAAGGGCACGTTTCAAAAGCTTAGAGTTTTAAAGCTATCATCCATTTGTATATTGAACACTCAACAGCCAGACTAAAGTCGCTCATAGCGCCAAACATGGTTCGTTAATACGACTACCATCAAATGGCACTAGTCTGGAGAAGAGAAAGCAAAGCTTACGCAACTAGGAAGTTGCACGAGTGACCAAATACCAGTAAGTAGCACAAAAACAGAAAACTATTTTTGTTTATTCGAAATCATTATTGGGTTGGTCTGAAATTCCAGGATTTATGATATATATATATATATATATATATATATATATATATATATATATATATATACTGAATCTTTCTGGGCGTTACCTTAAGATCGATCAATCGAAGTTCAGGACAAAAAATAGAATTAAAGAAAAAAATCATTAAACAAAGCTGTGAATTAGATTAAACAAGTTTCCTATTGTTTTGAAACTGAAAACACCTCATTGAATGGCTAACCATGATCATTCGTCAAATTGTCATGTAAACTAACTTTAAATTAAATACTACCTCCATAAACAGTGAGTTGAATAATTACAAATGCTTACTGTTGCATCCAAGCTTCTTCTGGTTCAACGTACTCATCAGCTCTTGCCTCGATTATACCTCGTTTAGACTTAGTAAAGGAGAATGAGCAAAAAAGAACACAAAAATAAATGCTCAGTAATCTAAAGATTTTTTCTGAGAAAATACTATCTTATTACAATAAAATATCATAAAAAAGACTATTTCTTATGATAAATTAAAATAAGGTTTGAGTGAAGTTATGTGTACAAAAGATTTCCTCATAAAATTTGTTAGTTAACTTATTCTGAATAAGTTATTACATAATAGATAGAATATGGCTAGCAGTGGGATGCAAGATGAGTATTTTGTCTTATTTGGGATTTCTTAGCCGGATGTACCTGCATTCTAGAGTTGGTGTTTCACTCCGGGGCTCCAACCCAGTACCATCCGCTTCAAACGCCATCGCTTAATCCAATTAGCTATTGAGTCAAGGTAGCCACTC